TACAAAAAACAAACAGCCGCCCACGTCCTCTTCCAGAAGAAATAGGGGGGGGGGGGGCCACGGGGGGTTTTGGGTGTGGGGTGTGGGAGGAGAGAAATATATTTTGTATTAAGCAATATTTTAAAAATGAGAAAGTTAACAAAATATAAAATTTTTTTGGCTATGAGAATCTAAAAGGTCCTTTTTTTTTTTCTTATGTGCCCCTTGATCAAGAAATGAACCCCAAGGACCTCTGTATTTTTAAGGGTGGATGCGTATTCACTGAGCCAAACCAGCCAGGGTGAGCTAATTGTCTTTATTAAACGATTCATGAATTGATTGGGCAGCATCTCCTCTATCAACTAAAAGGGCCACTCTGAGGGGTTGTACAAAATGGAAGGTTTTTATAAGAAGAGGAGTAGGGCAAGGGGGCTATTAACAAAAGAAAAGATGATTTGAGGGCCAGTATCTTTTCTTTAGGGGAAGGAAAAGGGGAAGGGTTTTATCATGCAAATTTCCTCTTTGTGTGTGTGTGTGTGTGTGTGTGTGTGTGTGTGTGTGTGTGTGGAGGGCGGGGGTGGGGGGAGGGGGGGTGGAGAAGGCCTCTGTGACAAATTGCCTTACTGGTGCTTGACCAGAAAATTCCAGACCAACTAGTTGATTAAGATTATGTTACTGGGAGAAGTTGGAACTGTAATTAGATCAGGTATTAAATCTAGGTTTGGTATCATAAGCTTTTTAGCAGAAGTGATGCTACCCTGGTCCTGTGATTTTTATCTTTAACAACTCTGCGTGAGCTAGGAAGTCATTGGAGGGTTTTGAGCTAATTCTACTGAACATTTCTGGCTGCTGTGTTGATAACAGAAGGACGGGAAGCAAGGGCAGAATAGGGAAGCCATTGAGGAGGCTGTTGCTTCTAACATTGGCTGGAAGATTTTTACTTGTACATGGGGCAACACTCAACAACTGAGCCACACCGGCCAGGGCTGAGGGGCACTTTTACATGTTGGAGGATGGGAGTGGAGTAAAGTATTCCAGATGGAGGGCACAGCTTATCAAAGGCTCATAGATGAGAGGTGCCTTTTCATTTCCAAAGCCCTAGGGCAGGGCC